TTCCAGTGGGGTGGGGAAGGATGGTTAGGAGGACAAAGGGGGACTAGGGAGAGAGCAGCAAAAAAAGAAAAAAAAAAGCACACCTCTTGCAAATTTTGATTTTGATGCCACTTCCTTGAATAGGAAATTATATATCCTACTGAAATGATATTTTTTAGACATAATAATGAAGGCTAAAAGCAAACTCTCTCTGCCCTCTCTGGGCACTGAGTCCAAGGCTGCCCTGGGTTCCACCTCTCCCATCCCAAGCCACATGCCTGAGGTTGAAGCGGCACCAGCCAAAGGGCAAGGCATACTCTTGTGGTGGCTCCCCCCGACGCCGATGTGCCTCATCTCCCCGAAGTTTCCGACAGGACTCACAGTAGCACAGGCTTCGCTTGGGGGGTGGGACAAAGTAATCCTCTGGCAAAGAAGAAAGAGGTTTAATTCAGGGACTATATTTCCTACAGAATCCTTATTTTTCTCTATCTCATCTGTGTCCTCAACCCTCAGAAAAGCCCATCTCCCCACCCCACCCCCCAAACAACTATCTAGGAGTTTGAGGAAAGCAACACTAGTGTCCCAAGAAGAAAGGACCTGAGAGTTGATGGTCCAACTAAGGGATGGAGTCTCACCTGGCAGCAGCAGCAACTCCTGGAATCGAGAGCAGAGGGCATGGTATTCACAGCTCTTTAAAGGACTGGCATCTGGAGGTGGAGCCCAACACACACTCTCCTTGATGCCTGAAAGGTAGGGTCAAATCAGAGTGGGGAAGGAGTGGGGAGAGAAGACAACAGTCAAACGAAGTGGAGGAGGAAGGGACAGGAGCAGGGCATATTTTGGAAACTTGTCCTCCTGCCCTCAGCGTGCCTTATTCAACTTCTTAAAAGCCTGTGTTTGGGGAGGGGGGGAAGGAGGAGTCAGGGAAGAAGCAAAGGGCTTAATGATGGAGGCAAGGACAGGTGTCCAGAAAAAGTAGGATCAAGAGTGACAGGGTTCGGGTTCCCTCCAGCAGTACGGTGCAGTACAGGCTCTCCCTGAGCCTCACCATCCACCACGTCAGCCTTCTCCATGTCCCCTTGGATTCCAGCTCCCTCCCCATTGGCTGCTCCCGTCTCAAGGCTCACAATTGTCACCTGGAGAGGAAGAAGGGTTGGTCAACCTTTGATCTGCTGCTTTTCCTGCCACGATGGATTTTCTCAATCCCACGGTGTGAGCTCCCTCCCCCACCCCCCACAACCCTTCAGTCTCAATTCCTTTTCCCCTTTAAACTCCCCAATTCTCTCCATCAACCCCATAAAAACTTCACTACACCCCCAATTCTAACTTTTTAGGACACCACCACCACCATGCTCCTCTAACTTCCTAGATTCCTCCCCCCTTCCAGCACTATCCCTGACCAACCACCCCCTGCTGACCTGCTCACACTGGCCATAGAGGTCCACTAGGGCATGGCAAGGCTGGGGCACCTCAGCCACAGCCACACCCTGGTCCACACCATTGACATAGAGGTGCAGCCCCCCAGACCCGTCCAACCTCAGCCCCAGCACCGTGCCTTCTGGGCACGTGTCCAGGTTTGGCCCATACTTCTCGCAGATCTGGGGGACAGAACATGAGAAGTGAGCCGCTTCTCAAAAAAATCCCACCCCTCAGATATCAATATCCATTCTCCAGTATCCTCATCTGGTCACCCCACACTCAAATGTACACTTCTTTATACACCTTTACTCTCTTATTACCAGGCTTCCCTTCTTATGATTCCCCCCAACACTTCTTCCCCACTCAGGGCCCATCCTCTGTGTCTATCTATTACCTCTTGTTTAGGTTCACCCAGTTGCTTCCAATGACTCCCCAATACCTATACCATTCCATTTTCCAGGGCCTTTTCCTTTCCTGATATCCCAATTATCTCCAATCACTGGATCTGTCTTGCCTACAGGACTGTTCCCCTTCTTTACATGTCCTGCCCACCTTGAGGCCATTATGGAAGATACCCTGGCCCCGAAGTAGCCAGGCGGCCCGTTTGAGGGCACAAGCTGAAGCTGGGAAGTTGAGCCGCTCAGGGGGGCAGGCAATGACTCCTAGGGCCAGGGATGAAGTCCACTGCCGGTTCAGGAAGTCCAGACGCACCTGGGGGGAGGGAGAGATTACCTCCTAGCAGCCACTGACCCACAGGAAGTAATCTCACTGGGTGGGACAGGGGAGGGGAGAAACAGGATATGTCACTTCTGCAGATATGAAGAAGAGTGGTTTAACTTTGGTTTTTGATGTAATTTCCTCCTCAGACAAGCACTATTCCATGTTAATTTTGTATGATTTTCTGTCTAGGTGAAAAAAGGTAAGGCTCACTAGCAAAGGTATCATTAAGAAAGGAAGTTATCAAGAGTGCTGACTTCATTCCTCTCTGGCTGTGAAAGAGATGCCAACATTCCACTTCATCTTCTCCAGGAGAGACTGCCAAGGTGGAACTTCTTTATACTTTCTATTCAACAAGAAGGGTAACACAGGGAAGTTGGCCTTTTGTTTCTCTTTCTTGTGGAAGGAAGCAACTAGGATCAGAAGGAATGGAGGAAGGAGTTCTTCAGAGCAAGGACCTCCCCGTCTGTTCAGGGAAGGATGAGACCCCAGCGTACCTGGACCAGTCGCTGAGGAACCAAGGGCCGGTTTATTACAACTATGCCCTGGTTGTAGCTGGCCACCCGTGTGGCTGTCAGGTTCCCATTGGACAAGAGGATGTTCTTCCCATGATTCTCCAGGAACTCAAGGGCTGCAGGGGTGACTGCAGCTTCATTCTCACCCTGCTGGAAGGACCATGTGGGTGTCAGCTAGGGCGCCAACTAATCCTTTTCCATTCTCACAGGTCCTAGTCTAATTAATATGGAAGAGTACTCCCCTGTATTGAGAATCAATGAAAATTGAAGTATATGGCTCTTGCTCACATGAGATAGTGGGATATCCCAACACTTTGTCCCCCGTCCCCCCCAACCCCCAATATTGAAGTTCATGCAGATAGAGTTCAGAGGGTTTAATTTCAATTAGATGGCCGCAAGGACTATAGACACTTGATCATCCTTCTTTGCCCCAATCCTCAGCTCTTACCATGGTGCCTGGTTCTTCATCATCCTCATCTTCTTCACCCTCACTGCCAGTATCTGAGCTGAGGGAAGGGGGCTTGGTGCCTTCAATCTCCTCTAGCATTGAGGAGCTGACAATGGAGATGACCTTCACCCGACCGTACAGGTCCAGCACCACCCACACATTCTGGGGGCACACATGGGTAAGGGAGTGTGGTATTACAGCATACCTCCTCTCCCCATACTGCTACTCTTCACACAAACCCTACACTCAACAGGGGAGAAAAACTGAGGGAAAAGACTAAGGGAGAGATGGGATATCAAGGGTCTCAACAGAAGATTAGACTGGGGAAAGGGAAAAAAGTAAATAGTGAAGCCTAAAGGTGACTGGGAGAAGATGTATGTATGGAAAGATGTCAGGGAAAAGGTGTTAAGGAAGGCTAAAAGGCAAGAAACCAAACTGGTAGAAAAGGAGTAAAAAAATAAAGGATGTGGGCCTGGGAATAAAGGACGGGGAAATGAGAAAATTCAACAATACCTTGGCAATGCCAGTGGCTGCAGGCCCCATGTCCTCACCATCCACCAGAATATGCATCGTGTCATCTGCCCCTCTACGTATTCCCACACGGCTTCCCACCTGCACAGAGATTTCAAATGGGTTTATAACTCAACAACACTGTATACATTGATTCTCTGCGTTCTCCTCTCCTAGCCCCTCTACCAGAGTTCTGTGCTCCCCTTCCATAATCTCACACCACCTCTCCTAACAATACTCCCTTCTCCCACTTCCCATATTTTTCAGCCCTCCCAGGGGTCTATACCAAATCAACCCCTTCCCCGTCTTCCAGGCCCTGCTCACCCCCAGCCTCTCCAGATTTCGTCCATAGTTCATCCGCTGAAGCTGTCCATTACGTCTCACCTCACAGCCAGAAACCATCCACGTTGTCTTGGACCGTAGCTCCGGTAGTGAGGTGGGCAGCCCTGGCCCTGCCCCATTCCCTCCCCCAGGCCCCAAGTCCCCTGGTAGAAGTGTTGTCAGCCCTACTTTGAATGAACCCGCCCACTTCTCATCCAGCTCTTCCACTTGCACCTGGTAGGGAGAGGAGGAAGTAGTCAGGAGATGAGGTAAAAATCAGTAGGAAAGAGAAACAGAAGTATGAAGAAGAATGAATTGTCGTGAGTTTCCTCTAAATCTGTCCTTTAACGGTCCTCTTTGACACTATTCCCTGGAGGCCCCCAACCTCATCCTCATCCTACCTCAAAGACCTCATCAGTCCTGAGCTCCTTCATGCTGAAGACTAAGCCATGAGCATAGCCAGCTACCCTCATGGCCCGAGTACCATCTTCTCCAAATGTTACATTTTTCCCACAGCTGCTGTGGAATCGGTGAGCCACACCTGCCACTGAGAAAGGAAGAGGACATAGAGGGATGTTGGGGGTATAGAAAGAAGGGAGGCACAACTTTTCTAAGCTGGGAGCAGGATGTGAATTTCAGTACGTATCTTTTTAGCCAAAGAGTGCTTAGACATTGCTCACTCCTGATCTGGTCAGTGGCAAGAAAGCCTTATGAGGTCATCTCTTCACCAGAGAGGCACCAAACTTAGGCTGCCTGCCTCTACAGAAAGTGAGAGAGAAGACTCAGCAGACTATTTCCTATTCAAACAGGAAACTGGGAAGGGCAGCAGGGACATACAGCAATACATTTTCCTCTACTGAAAGAGGAAAAAGTCCAAGCTCCCCAAACCAAAAGTTGAAATGAACACTTCCTTGACCCCAAGTCTGAAAGCTTGTGGATTTATGACATCACTTCTTCAAAAAGAAAAAGCAAACACTAGTTATCCCTCTTCCTTTTCTCTCTCTCTGAATCCTTAAGTCTTCCCCTTCACCCAAAAGTGCCCTGTCCATAACCTGTACTGCTGAAACTACCACTATATCCTTGAGAATTTTTTCTCATCCATGATCCCTAAAACCACAGCAATTATCTTCCATATATGACCATTCCCCAAGTGTCAAGTCCACCATTTTTCTATAATGTTGCTTCCAACACTTTCCTTATACCTATAGCTCCCTTGTTCCCCGAAGTTCTCACCTGGGGAATGAAGAGGGAAAGATTTCTCAGTGGCATTGCTGGTTGACAGGCTGTTATCCATAGGGCCTGTAGCACTGGTAATGGAGACCTGGACACACTGGCCGTAGAGATCCACCACAGCATACACCTCTGGGGTCAGAGGGAGAGGCAGGCTGGGACACCAGTTGCCTGAAGTCCTAAAGGGAATGAGGACTAAGGTATCTGAGTCCCCAAAAAGGGGTGTGGGTTGAGGGGATGTCTTGCATCCCTAAAGGGAAAAGGTTGGAGAACTAGAGGCTAGAGGGCCAGATACTTGGACCCCTGAACAGGGAGGTCACCTTTCCCAGCAGGGAGGCCAGAACAGGCAGGCCCTTGGTCTTGGCCATTGATGAAGTAATGCAGGTCACCCTTAGCAGTACGCATCATGCCAATCCGAGAGCCAGTGCCTAGAGAATCCAGGTCACAGCCATAGTTGTTTCGCATGGTGTTTCCATCCTGCATGATAGCTGTGCCACTATTGAGGGAAGTAGGGGAAAGGGGAAGTCAGCTTCCCTGTCAAAACAGGGAAACTCACCCTGTTATCAAAAAATTTCCTTAGGGTCTTGACAGAAGTATTAAGACCAGGATGTGTTGCTCCTAGGCCTAGCCCTTCACCCTGTACCCCACCACCAATTCCCTTCAACTAAGATATAATCTTAATGAAGTGACCTGACCCTAGACCTATTCCAACATAATTCTTTATCTAAAATATCTGCCTGCCATGGTGTCTACTTGCGATGTTGCACTCTTCTTTCTCTTCCATAGCAGATGTGTTCTATTTCCTTACACTTATGCAACAGTTTAGACCACTGTTATGGAAATTCTCTATCAACAACAGCTACCTCTGCATCCATTCAACAAAGCGTCTCCACAGCAAAGGACTGTACCTAAAAATGTTTTCCACCCTAGAGGGTCAGTTGGGCTTCGTCTTCTCTCTCCTTTATCCCATCCCATGCCTGGCAGAGTCCTTTGCCAAGAAGGCACTCAAAAAATGACAGAAGTAGTGAATGGATGAATAAATTGCCTCACCTCAGCATCCACGTGTCATAGTCAATGTCAGTCATCGTGTTGGGGAACTCCAGGTCTTCCGGCCGTATGGCAGTCACTCCTGTGGGGGGTAGAAAGAAGTCCCCTTTGTGGCTCAGGCAATCATCCTAAAATGTCAACCTTCCCCTCGAGCACACTAACCAACCTACCAGCCTCAATAGACCCTGACCAACGATCAACCATCTTCTGAATAACAATCTCAAAGAGTTCTCCATCTCGAAGGGCCCTGCCAGAGATAAGGGGGAGACTCAAAGATGGTCTCTGAAGGCATCAGGGATAGAAGAACCAGGCAGAGGGAGAGTGGGCAGGAAGGAAAGGGAAGCTGATACCTTTATCCCCTATTATGGGACTGACCGGTTGGAGATGACGATGGCATCATTGAATTCACTTCGACAGTTGTGCCTGAGAGCTGTTCGGCCCCCATTAGTAATGACAGCATTGCTGCCATGAAGCTGGTGAAATCGAAGATCAGTGGCTCCTGCCCCGGATGAAGGGGAACTTGGTGACAGCTGATTATTTCCTTCAGAAATGTCATCTGGCAGCGGCAACAGCTCTAGGGATTGGGGATAGGGTAGGGAATCAGCTACCATATCCTAGTTTCACAGTCCTCTTGTTTCTTCCTCTCCAACCCCTCCCAAACCTCTCCTTATAGATCCTCTCCTTATGTTTTTTCCTCACCAGAGTCATCCACAATGGTGGCTTGTGCAGCCTGGCCATAAAGATCAACTACAGCATAAACCCCCGGGGGCACATTCCATGCTGCAGGGCCTTGGGCCACCCCATTGACAAAGAAGTGGAGGGTGCCATCCTCTCGCCGTACTACACCCACTGTGTCCCCTGCCTTGGGGAAAGGATAAGAAGTCAGCCATAGTACCTGAAACATACTGAGTGAAGGAAAGGATGTGCCCATCACTAACCATACTATACTCTCTCTTCCCCCAGGGGTGGAGTGAGGGTGGGAAATCATCTCCATACTCTAGCCCCACCTGCTAAGTCCCTTGGGGAACAAAGCCCACACTCCCTACCAGACCTTGAGTCGGTCAAGGTTGTGACCATACTCGTCCAAGATGGTTGTCCCATTGTGCATCACCCCATTCCCGGTCATCATCCAAGTTCCTGGTTAAAAAAAAAAATGAGGGTTGTGAGAAGTAGAAAAAACAAAGGTGGGTGTATACAGGACTAGGATTTTAAATTTGAAGACCTGAGTTTAGTTCTAGATCTTTCCTTGACTCAGGATGTGACTGTGGTAAGTCACTTTACCTGTCTGGGCCTATTTCCCAAAACTAAGGAGAGATGGAGTTGAGCTAGAGGTAAAGATTCTATATGGTTTTATAAGACTTAGTGGAGTGCGGGAATCAAAGGTACTGGAGGACACCCACTTTCCTTATCCTCAGCTCATTCTTCCTCCCCAGAACTTATCCCTCTACCCCTCTTTATCCTAACACATCCCTTTCCAAACATTTCTCCCTACTCTTGGAGCAATAGCCTCTCTCACCTGAACGCAAGTTGGTCATAGTAGAAGGCAGCTGCAGATAAGCTGGATTGTGGGTGGTGACCCCAATTTCAATTGAACCTGCCCACTTGTCCACCATTTTGTCAATTCGAACCTGGAACAGCTCTCCATCCCGAAGAGCCCGGCTGCTCAACACCACACCATGATTGAAGTCATCTGTGGCACTGAGAGTGGAATAAATGGGGAATCAGTCCCATTCTTCTACCCAAGACCCACCCATACTTCCAGCTGCCACCAAATTCCAGCCTCCTTTGACTACTGATTAGGGAGAAGATTCCCCCTAGTCAGACAACTCCCAAACCCCATTTACCCCTTAAGTGCCACTCTGTCCCTCTACTCTGAAGGACCTTCCCCCGCATCCTGACCCAAACAAGCCTTTTCCTATCCCAGGGACTATACTGTGGTCGAAGAGCAGTTCGTCCTTCATGGGTGATTGCTGCCTTCTGTCCACAGTTGGGGTGGAAGAGCAGGCGATCAGGCTCAGAGTGGGCAAGGCCAGGAGGCGGCCTTCGATGGGCACCCTCAGGAGACAGGGCCCGAAGGATAGCATTGTTTCGTCGAAGACGGTCGCTGTGGTTGTGGTTGTGGACAATAGTCACCTTCACTGCCATCCCATACAAGTCTACCACACCATATACCACTGGGGGTGTCACTGAAGTTGCCACACCTACCCAGGAACCAAGAAAGAAAAGAAGGAAAGAGAAAACCATAAGGAGAGACAAACTCGGAGAGAGGCCCAAAAATACTAACACAAAATCATGGAAGGGGAAAGAGGCAGAGAACAAGTCAAAGTCAAACCTGGGCCTACTCCCATCTTTAACTCTCCTTAAGTGCAAATCCTCTACAACCTCTACATCAACCTCAGTCCCAACTTCCACCCAATTACTCCACCCTGGTAGATTTACCTCAGCCCTGTTTTCTCCACCTTACCCTGGTCGATTCCATTGATGAAGAAGTGTAGTGCAGAGCTGGCTTTTCTGGTGAGACCAATGTGGTCCCCTTCCTTTGGGGAGGGAAGGGGAGCAAAAGATCTCATAGTACTCAGATTTTTCCATCCCCAGGGTCCCACACTCAAATGAAGCCAAAATCCTGGGGTCTTCCCATCTAACTATATTATTGGATAGAGGTTAGGACTTAACAGTAAAGGCCAACTAAGCAAAAAATCTTCCCTGCTACACCCTCCTCCCCCCAAACTCACATGTGGAAATAACCCAATTTATCTAGTAAGAAAGTACTACCCTTCTGCCCCTCCAGCCCTCCCCACTATCTTTCCAGCCCCAACCCTGGCTCTCACCTGTAGCTCATCCAGGCTGAACTCACAGTATTCCCTGCGTGTCCCTTTGCCATTGGTCAGGATCCCACAGCCGCTCATCATGATGGTGCCTACAGAAGGAAAACCCTACTCCCCTTAGTTATGGTCTTGAGAAACCTCCTACCAATTCCCCTTAAGGGACCAGCTCTCTAGTACCTGAGCGAAGATTGGTCATAGTTGCAGGATATTCCAGGCTGTTTGGATTATGGGTTGTCACTCCAATTTCTATGGAGCCTGACCATTTATCCACCAGCTTGTCAATTCGAATCTTAGGGTAGAGGGAAGTCAGCAGGTGAGAGGAAGGAAAAATAGAATGGTGATGGAGGAGAAAGACACGTGGCTTAACTCCTCCTATTAACCAAGTACATATGGATAAACTGAGGGAAAAAAAACCTCTCTGGCCCATCTTAAGACCTCCCTTCCCCACACTTATCAAGGACATTGTATCAAATGTCTGGGCCCCCAAAAGAATAGGGCTTAAGGGACTAAGCTGAAACATCAGACATTCAGATTTCTGAAGAAGAAAGCTGGGATGAAGCCACCAGAGTTCCCACCTCGAACATCTCATTGTCACGTAGTGGGCGATTTGTCATCACTACTCCATTGTTGAACTCATCTAGAGGCCGTCGACGTTCAGCTGTCTTGTTATTGTTGCTAAGTTTGATGAGGGTTCCACACTTCTCATGAAAGAGCAGGGCATCATTAGAGGTGAGGGGTGTTGGGGCAGGGAGTCCACTCCCACCAGCACCAGATCCTGGCCCTTCTGCAGGTGGGGAGCCAAGGCTGACACTCAGGAGTCCACCATTGTAAGCAGACAGGATGGCATTACTCACTACTTCTGAAAGTTCCATGCCTGAGAAACCTGGAGTCAAGAAATTGGAAAAAAGGGGAAAATAAAATTCTAGTTCTCTAAGGAGCTTGTTTCCCCTTTCTTGAAAGCCCTTCCCTTCAACTGCCCACCTCCCTTCTATTCACCCCTCTCTTCTCCCTCACCCCAGTCACCTCTTTACCCTCTCCCTCCCCATCCCCCCCTCACCATTCTCCTACTCAAGGCTGTTGGGGAACTTGTCCAGCTGGGCCTGGGCATGGGGCAGCATGAGGGCTGGGGACCAGGTTGGGGGTGGGAAGGGAGTAAGGTCTCCAGCCCTTACCCCTGGTCCTCTCAACCAGGTCTAGCCCCTCACCTCCAAAACATTCCTTTCAATTGCCCAGCGTGCACCAGTTTTTATTTTGCCCATGTCCTTTTCCTCCTACACCTCTTTATTCCATGTGACTCCCAGATCTTCCCTTTCTGTTGTTTCCTATGTCCCTCCATAGCCCCCCCTTGTACTCCACAAATACCCAATGATTTCCCCTCAAAATAATATATCCCCAACTATTCCACACATACTATACTCCCAGCTATCCCTCCCACACCCCAACTGTGCACACTTCCAGCTATTTTCCTACTCCCCCTACCCCTGCATAATAAATACACAAATTCCCAAATGTCTCCTGTGTTCCCCACCTATGACCCTCTTCCTTTCATCGTGGCATCTCACCTTCATCTCCGGAGGCCCCCTGCTCAGCAGAAGTGTCCCCAGGGGGCAAGGCAGGGGCAGGGGGAGGTGTAGGGGTACCAAGACCAGGCTCGGGGGGCAGCACGGTGATCTGAGTGCACTTGCCATAGAGATCGACCACCGCCCAGACTCGGGAGGGAAGGCCAGTAGCAGCAACACCACAGTCCCGCCCATTGACCCAGAGTCGAAGCTCACCAGCAGCTGTGCGCTCCACACCCACACGGTCCCCCTCACCCAGCTGGTCCAGGTCCTGCCCATACTCTTCCAGCACTGAACGCCCATCCCGAAGCACCGAGCACCCAGACACTACCCAAGAGCCCCCCTTCAGTCCTGTGGCGCTACTTGGGAAGTCCAGTACACCTGGGTCCAATGCTGTTACTCCAATCTCAATTGATCCACTCCAAGAGTTCACCTATAAATGGGGAATCAGGAGTTGGGTGGGGACAGGGGCATGGGAAAAAACAGTCGAGGGGGACCGAAGGCCTTCCTAGTCTCTTCCTACAGTAGGTCCCTTCTCTTTTATCCGGCTGCCTCCTTGACTTCCTAGTCATTCTACTAGTGTCTCTGGCTTGCCTGGTCTTTCCTGAGTCTTTTTACGTGTCTGAATATCTCCATTGCTAAGACGTATCCTCAGAAAACAGAACAAAGGCGGCTGTCATCCACCTTCCTCAAGCCTCTGCTCCTCAAGGCTGGGTCTGCTGCTGTTACCTCGGTGCAATCTGGGTTCTCTTATTGCCCCGGAGAGCATTTGCTCCACTAATTCATCAGCACTCCCTCCACACGCCCCCCCCCGCCCCCATTCCCTCCCCCGCCAACTCCCGGTCTGGGCC